GCACCCTCCAATCCTGAGACTGATACAGCGGGAGATAACTCGCCGCATGCACGAGATCTTCAACTCTCTATCCAATTGAAGGCAAGAGTCTCTGAGCTCGAGACCGTTCATGGCATAATCGCTAAACAGCTGACAGGGGCTCGTACAGAATTAGCCACTGTTCTTCTTTGTTTAAGCCTGACTGAGGCCTCTGCTGCTGATCCTGTGAAGTCTGACAGTGACACTCCCTCCAATGCTTGACCTTTGACTATCATTAGCAAAAAGGGGGAGTAGTATGAACTCAGGGGGAGTTTTTTTTTGTGTTTGTGTACCTTCTGGCCCTGGCTGGGCGTTGTTTTTGATGGCACCACTACTTGGATCTTATGTTTTTGTTTTAGTTCTATGTAATCGGATCAGACTCATGGGTTGCTTCTTTATAATAACCTATCTTAGTTCTTTATGTTTTGTCTATCTATATAGTCGAGTTGTTTTGCCAAATAATAGCCAAAGGGGGAGTTTGTTAGTGTTTTTAAATGTTCAAAAACCCCATATTATAATTGGCAATATTATTATGGCATACTAAGATAGGTTTAGAGTTTGTCCGTACAGTGCTACAGACGACTGATCAATCAGAAGCAACAACAGAAGGACTGACTCTGAAGATCTGATTTAGGAAGCTGATTCCTAAAAGACTTACGCGGTATTATCAGACAAATTTGGAAAGAAGATCAGCGTATTTTTTCAAGAAAGGTATGGACCTAATCTTCTGAGATTACATTCCTCTTTTATAGTCCTACCTTCTACAATCTAAGTCATCTATGGAGAGTGTTTATTGAAGAATCTATAAGTACCCTTATTCGAAGAGAATTAGGGTTACGCCGAAAGTAAGAAGAAACACTCCCTATCTGCTATATGAGACTAGATCTTTGATTGTCATGTATCTTCTCAATACAATATGTTCATGGTGATTAAGATGATGAACTTGAGAAGAATCACTGCTGCTTAAACGAAAGGACACTGTGATCACACTGTTGTGGGAACAACCTTAAAGAGCATCATTGAAGTGGTCTGCATCAGAGTGGGCTCTCCAAGTGAAGGGATTTCATTGGACTTCTGTATGCATGGCTCTCCATCTTCAACAATCCACTAAACCTATGTAGACTGGGTTTGTACCTTGTGTGGGGCACTTGGGTAAGATTATTGTATATCTACCTTTGTACATTGGATTATGATTTAGTGGATTGGACGCCTATGTGATCGTCCCCCATACGTAGATACACACTCTATCGAACTGGGTAAATATTCTGTGTCGTTGAGTTTGTGCTGTTATCTTTCTCTTACATCCTGTACATGATTGATTATTACTGACTATCTTCATAACTGAATCAATCAGTAATCTCGAACAGTTGACTAATCCTATTTATTTATCAAAAAAGAGAAAATCCAAAATTACAAGAACTATATGGTAGGATTCCGTGTAAGTTGTGGTGTCTTGAATCGTGCTAAGTGTTCAACATTGTGATTCGTTGAACCGTGATGAGTCTTGTGTGTTCTTCGGAACTATGTTTGGTTTACCCGTTTGATAAGCATGCTAGTTCGGTGTTTAAATGCTTGCGTGTGTGTTGTTTGTACCTTCTTATTGGTTGATGATGACTTGTGTTATTCATCGTTGTTGTTGGACTGTGATCTATTCCTTGTTTGAGTATGGTTTCATATCTTCGTTGTGATCTGTTGATTGATTCCTGTTATGGTGTGATGTGTGTGTGGCTGTACCTGGATTGCACGATTAGTGGTAGAGGACAGTAGTCACCAAGGTACGGCAATGGTCCTCGTGGTGGCCATGATGTGATTATGGAGTTTGTGACCTGTGTATCGGGTTCACGTATTTTGGAAAGGCGTGTGTCGCCGTGTGTGTGATGGTACCTTGTGTACTATGAATTGGTGGTCTTGTTGGTGGTTTGTTGGTGGGAGACGACGGTCCCAGGAGGGAAAAGGTTGGACTAAGAAGTACAGGGGTCCTGGAGGTAATGGTTGGAACTAGACATAAGGTTGGGGGTAGCCATAAGGTTGGAACCGGGCATAAGGAAGGCATTTCAATTCGTGATGGTGATGTCACGAAGGCTTGTGTAGCCGTTGTTGTGAGTATCTCTTTTTGTGACGTGTGTAGTCACAAAGGCAATGTGTTGCCAATGGTTGTGTCCTTATTCTCTTATGTTATGCATGTCGGGTGTTAATCTACTGTGTGATGGTAGATTATACCTTGAGCCGTTCTTGTGAGTCGTTGTATCTCGTGTGGTCTTGGGATGTGTTCCCTTATCTTGTTGTGAGTGCGTAGAGTCTTGTGTTGACTTCTGCTCTTGGTTTTGAACATATGTATGTATATTCTGTTTCGAAAATGATTTTGTATATATATCCTATCTTTGTATGATACTTAACAGTATTGGTCGGCTACCGGCATTATTCGCTGACCGGGCGTCATCCCATTTCTATTTGTTGCTTTACAGGTTGGGTAGCTTTGGAGAGCGCGCTAGTGGCCTGTAGCTAGATTATCTCTTCCTTTAATAGTTGTTGAGGCCTGTGAGCCTAAGTAGTTGAGTTGTTAGACTGCTGTAGTTGTAGTATATGCATGTGCACCTATGTTTGATATAGGTGTGGCATAGCATCTTCCGGTTTTGTTTAGTTAGCTTCCGCCTTGTTTAATCTTATTGAGTAGACTTTATCTCTTTACTAAGCTTTAATTGATTTAAAAAGTTGTTGAAAATCGGGGGTGTTACACACACCATTAGGTATGAATAAATGCACCACACAATGTTCAGAAATACACCATTGGGGTGGTGAGTTATATGGTGTATTTTTGGGGTGTGTTGTGTGTTATTTTGGTGTATTTGTGCATTTCATTGTTGTGCTTTTCCTAACACTATTAGTGTCTTTTGTTAACACTGTTGGTGTATTTTGTTAATACTGTTGGTGTATTCTGTTAAACGACCGATATAAATGACCACTATAATTACCATAATACCCTCCACTTACCAAGACGCGCTTAAATCTTCAAATCTTCAGAAATTAGTCGCTGCCGTCAGATTAAGCAAAATGGACGACGCTGATATGACCGCACAGCTGCACCTAAGGACCCTGCCACATATGAGCCTTATATATATATATATATATATATATATATATATATATATATATATATATATATATATATATATATATATATATATATATATATATATATATATATATATGCTAATTTTCTGGTGCACTCCACTCTTAAAGTGTGAACCGTGTGCACTCATCCGGTGCGTTGATTTCGTGCATCCAACTGCCCAAAATAAACGTACACTTCCTTACAATGCACCGACGCACATTCAGTTAATCCTTCTGTATTTTAGACCGAATTGGACTTCACTACTTATCTTTACACCAGTTTGCCGGTTTACACGGCTCTACTCTCGGTGATCCCTCCCCGACCCCCAAGGACGATGCCTTCTCAGAGTGAAGAACCTCCGGCGGCTGCCGCTGCATATCATGCGACTACAGGTCCCAACCCCATACTATTGGCATTTGCGTATCCCATCCGTGCACTGCCTAGGTACGCAATTTTTGGTTTTTTTTTGCTGTGGCGTCATTGGAAAGGTACAACTGGAGGTAGCATTGCATGTGTATTATATTCGTATTTGAATGGTATTGTTTGGGGCCAAGCAACCTTGTTCGTATGAATGCATGCGTGTGGAACAACAAACCATACTTAAGTTGTACGCCAATCGTATGAATGCATTACTATGTTGCAGTTCCTTCAATTTTTTTGGCCAGGACATGTCAAACATTTGAATGAACTGCATTATCATCCAATCATGCATACAGTTTTTTCTTCTATTCCACAAATTCAATATGACAAGGCTACCTGATTCTGTTTTTACTTATTCTGACAAAGTTTAACCCATCAACTTGAACTCCAATTTAGTTGATGAAATGTACTGGGATTTTTTTTTATATTATTATTTGACTTCATCTATGTTAACAATGTTACCGTGCACCTTTAATTCATTGCAGGGTTACTTGGCGATGATTTATGTACCGGGGATGTATTGCAGAGCGCGACAAGGTTTGACACTGCGATTAAACAATACTGGCTCCCCGATGTAGACACTGACTTGCTACCAGCCATCGGTCAATGTTTTAACTCCCTAGCCGAAGGAATCCAATTCTACAAGGCCTATGGACAAGCAGGTGGATTTGACATTCGGCACAGCTCTGTTAAGCGAGATCGCAGTGGTGCAATTATTTCCCGTCATTTAGTATGCAACCGACAAGGGGCCAAAGGAGGTGGGCGTAGCAAATGTATAGAAGGTAGTGTCAGCAGTGGTAGCCACAAACAACGACGGAAACGGATTTCTAACAGAGTGGGGTGTGGCGCTAAGCTTGGATTTAAGAAAGTCAGTAATGGGGAGTTTAAGGTGTCTATATTTGTCGACAAAGGATAATCATGCAGCGATCAAGGCATTTTGTGGGGTGCATCCACCACGATCCATGACCATTAAAGCCCCGGCCCAAGCTAAGAACAAAGGGAGTGGGAAACGTCTTAAAAGCAGTCGGGAGATAGCCATAGAGAACAATGCTAAAGTTGGGCGAAAGTGCGGATTGTGCGGTGAGTACGCCCGTCATAATGCTCGTAGTTGTCCTTCCAAGTGCAACGTGGATTAGTTAGTCATAACCCATGGTCCCGGGTCGAAGAAACAAGCGCTTGTTCCATTCTAGTTTACTTGGTTTAGATTAATTTTGATTCGTTTTTGCACTCCTTTCTGCCAGCACCTAATGCTGTTTTGTTACTGCATATTTATTCTCTCGTAGTAAGCCACTTCTCTTTCAATAGTCTCATAATTAACATGTGATTAGGCACTGTAATTATTCATTTTAACTCATCATTCACGTACTACCAAGTAAACAAAATTGACACTGAGAAATTGCTAATGAAAATTTAACGCAGATGAGATTGACGTAGGGATTTTGCTGCTAATTACTGCACACGATAAATGAACACCTAATTAGTGCACATGCCAAATGTATATGCAGGAAAAATATGAACCAAAAAGCAGACTAAGCACATCCTTATTGCACGCTAAAAGTTAGCTAAATAACACCCACACATGACTAAAGCATAGGTGTCCAAACCGACCTGCTTTCATTTTGCAACAGAACCATGTACTAACTAATGTCTAAACCGTAGGTGGGGGAACCAAAATGCAGCAGTTTTGCATTTTAAAACTGTATTAACTACTGTCGCGATAGTTGTTCTACGTAATCACGGGTGGAGATGTGCCACCCTCTTGGTATCATATTGGCCAACGCGAGAGGCTACATTCTCCATGTGTTCATTGTCCTTGCACAAAAGTATGTTGTGCATGAACCTCTTTCGTAGGTCTAGAAATTGGTGGCATTTCTCCCGTTGCAACCCACAGTCCCAGTTTGCGCAACTTTGCCCGGTATACGCCTCCATGTGCCGCATTGTAAACACCGCAGAGTCAAGGGTAGACGTGGTGTCTCTCCACGCCATCTGCATCCTTAGGCATCCCCCGCGTGGTGATCTGCGAAAACCGGTTGTCCGCGTGTCCAGGCCCAACACTCGGAGACCCTTCAAGGCCCACATCCTCAAGAACCCGTGGCGGGGTATAGAATTCGTCACCAGACTCGCTTCCGCCATCACTTAGTTGAACCGCATGTTGTGCATCCCCACCTGAGCACACCAAAGTAGACAGGTTAGCACCCGAACGAATATTCTACAACAGAATAGGATGGAACCACAAGTGTCCATTCTCTATAGTCAAGCACAAGAAAGTGACAAAATTACAAGTTTTAGTCAAGTAGTACGAGTGACAAACATATATTGTTACAATCAAGAACTGAGAAACATTACACTCATCAAATTCCTTCCATCCCACATTTGAAGCCATTAAAGCCACCCCAAATCTAGATAGCAATATAGAAACCTGCTATGTATAAGAAGTAACATATGACCATCTGATACTTGATAAACATGCACCACTAGCTTATAAGGGAACATGCACCACTAGCTTGCAAAGAGATAGGTTGTAACTAGGCAACATGGATGTGGTGTATCACCCCTGCACCATCGGAGAAAGTGCTTTCCATCTACCGTGAACATGCTAGTAGTGACGTAACGTCAGTACTATGGTAGAATTCGCCAATCCTACTTAGTATTTAATACTAAACCATAATCTTATCAAGCTTTGGGTTTTTACTTCTTTACAAAACTGAATTTGATCAGCAAAATAGTTTTAAGTGTGTGAACAAAGAATAGTTATCATGTGTCTACCAAACAACATATCATCTTAACTTTCAACCAATTGAATGTGTTTCTTGTCCATTAATGTTTTGAGTGCAGTTAAAATTACTGGTGAGCTTGTTTGTTCTTGAAGTTGGACTTTAGGAAAAAGAGTTGCATCGGCTTGGGAGTGTTGGATTCTTTTATTTTTCTTCTCTAGAATGGTGTACATGAGCTGGTTTATTTGAAACTAGAGTGAGTATTTTATACAAAAATGGATCTTTTTATTTTTTTGATCAGTTCAACTAAATTAAATATGAAGCCATACCCAAAAATAAAATAGAGGAACTGTACATACAAAATATACCATTAATAATGCAATCATATATAGGTCACAAATATATATTTCTAACATTCTAAACACACAGACATAGATGTGGTGCAGAAAAACAGACTAAAAAACAAAGGCAAAAAAGAAACCAGAAAACCTGATCAAGGATGGAACTATATATACAAAATACCATTAATAATGCAAACATATATAGGTCAAAACCACATATTTCAAACATTCTTATATAGTGTGCTGACAATATTCTTTCACAGTGATGTGTAAACACACAGACATAGATGCAATGCAGAAAATCAGACTAAAAAAAAAAAAAGGCAAGAAAGGGAACAGAAAACCTGATCTACAACATACCAACCCCTACCAGTGTGGTGTTTTAGCCAAAGATTGTATGCGACGCGTGCTAAAACACCAAGCCACGAATTGATGGAAGAAGACAAAGGAACCAAACAACATGCACTGTGTAATCCAGCTAGAATAGTCACTCTAATCTACTATAAAGTTTCGTTTTCTACTGCAATTCACGGTACCGGGCAGGAGACACGGTTTTGTATATGTGAAAAGGAGCATTGATTTGACGAACTAAAAAGAGGGAAAAGAATTAAAAACGAAAGGGGAACGGGACTAACCCCACTGCGCCCTCCGTTGCACCGACCGTCTCCTTGCAGCGACCCTAGATGCTACACCGGAAGCCGGACGGTCGCAATCCCCACGAGCCGTCGCTCGCGACGGACGGCCGCCTGACCGCCGCTTGAATGCCCAGGAACCCACTGCAACCCTGTGCGAACTAGCTACCGGCGGCGTTCCCGGCGTGAACGGACGCCAAGGCCTACCCCCCTTCGACCGCCGATATCCACTTGACCGCGCCATGAGCTTCCGACACCGAACCTGTAACAGGGAGATGAACAGAGAGCCACACCACTGGAAAGCCGTAGAGGAATTAACTCCCAATTTGAATTCTGAAGCCCTTGTGACTCCACTACCGAATTAGAATTAGACTTGTTATTAAAGGGCCCTACAATTGTGCACATTGAAGATGCACTACCCAACACTGCGGTGCACACTAGCCCCACGTACCCTCAACCCCGGCCGTTGATCTTCTAAGATGAACGGCTATGAGAAGTGCACACGGTTCACACTTTAAGAGTGGAGTGCACCAGAACTTTATTCTAAATAAATAAATAAATAAATATATATATATATATATATATATATATATATATATATATATATATATATATATATAATTTTTGGTTTTGTACCAAAATTAGTTAGAATTAATTTTCTGTAAATTAAATTCCATATTTTCGTATAAATATATAGTTTATATATATTTTTTTGTATCGACTTATTCACCAGCACCAACAATTTTAAAATCGATACATTTATTGGTGAATTAAGTCGATGGTTCCCACTATTGTGGTAAGTGGTAGCGTGAATGTTGCTCATGGTGCACATTCGAATGGTCGGAGCGGTAACGTGGTTGCACATTCCGAAAACCTATGAACTTTGGTTGGAAAACCGGTGATGGCATCAAAGGGAATATCCGTACGATGAAGGTGCATGTGACGGTACCAAGTGGCCAATTTGGTCGAAAGACCGTGGAAATTCAAGGAGTTGAATTTCATAGGGTGGCAACTTAAAATGTTGTTCAACCTAGTGGTTCTCGGCATGTCATGGTTCTTGACCGAGATGGTTCGTAGTAGAAAGGAACGTGAGTCTAACGCTCAAACCATAAGCGTGGTGAGGGTTTGGAAATATTTTGTTTTCCTATGCCTAAACTACATTTTAAACGGTTTGTGTGACTCATTGTACAATGTATACTGTAAACTGGAAATAGCTTATGAGCCATGTGAATCTTTGGACCTGAAGTATAAGAGTGATGACAGTAAGGCAAAGATATTTGTCGTTAGCCTTTTCCTTGAATACAAGATGGAGGATTCTAGGATCGTCCTAAGTCAAGATGACGAAGGAATGATAGTTAATGCATGTCAATCAGAATGAGTTCTAAATCATCCTCCCAGAAATGGTGACCGAGGTAAACCTGGTTGGTTTGAAACAAACCAAATGGTTCATTGATACGTGTACGACCCAACCTATGTGTTCCAACCGTGAGTTGTTTACTACATTTGAGACAACTAATAGTTAAAAGGTATAGATGGGGAATTCTGCTCAGTTTGTTGTGGAAGGTAGGGGTAAAGTAGTTCCCATGATGACCTCTGGGAAAGAGCTGACTCCGAAAAATGTCCTGTACGTACCGGAGCTACGAGTTTCTAGCTCATGGTGGACAAGAATGACTTCCGGTCAAGGTTGCAGTAGGCGCTAGGCGCTAGTCGGGTGGCCGGCCAGCACCTAGCGCCTAGGCGGGCTAGGCGGGGCCTAGGCGGCACTAGGCGGGCTCTAAAAAAAATTAAAAAACAGTAGTAGACTTGCAGTTTGACAAATTTAATGAAGTTGTTTTCAACATTCAATCAAATAGCACGTCCAAATAATAAAACTATCAATCTATCATACATTCCTTCAAACAACTAAACAAGTCAAACACTCGATTACTCAAACAACAATACCACATTTAATCATCCAACTAATGAAACAACATCCAAGTATCATTGTTTAAACTTACAAGTTACAAACTTACAACATAATTAACATTCAACAAAAATTCAACATTCAAGTTACAAACTTACAACATAATTAACGTTTAAAGTTTTGAAATCCAAAGTGATTCATGAATCATGATTGAATAGGATCATTGCCAATTTCTTCATCTTGTCCATATTGCTCAATAACACGTTGCCCATCATCTTCAAACTCCACTTCATTTATTTCCACCTCACTTTCCTCTCCCGATTCAAAGTTATCTTCATCAAGATCCCTCAATCTAGCACTTCTACGGGGTTGTAATGCTTCATCCACTTCCATAGCATTATTGTTGCAATCCATTCCCGGCTCATTCTCAACATTTTCCACAATCCAATCTTGTGCTAAACTTGCATCACTACCAACCAACTTTTCAATATTTTTATCTTGCTTGTTCTTGTTCATCAAAGTAGCATTAAATTGGACAAAAACTAAATTGTTGAGACGATTTGATTCAAACATATTTCTCTTCTTTGTATGTATCTACAATTCAAGTAATAAAAATATTCAAAAGTTGAAATAATGAATTAATGATTAACAAAGTATTAAGTATCATAATTCATATTTATATTTTATATTAACAATTTAACATGGCAAATTGATAACAAACTAAATAGAATATCATATTAAGTTACTAACCCCTTCAAACGTGCTCCAATTTCTTTCACACCCCGAAGAACTAGATGTTAAAGAAAGAATCTTTATGGCTATTCTTCTCAATAAAGGGGCTGAGATACCAAAAGTTGACCACCAATTTGCTACAAAACAAAGTTTATAATAATTAATAAATAATTAAATATAAATTAATAAATATAGTTAAGTAAACAATAAAGTATTAAAGAATAAAGAATGACTTACCGGGATTAAAGTTGTCATCCCTTCACCCCACATGCTTTGATTGCGATACTTCTTCCAAACATCCCCTCCTTCTTCTTATATTTTGGCAATTCTTCACTTAAAATCTTATTTTGCATGTCAAAATCATTGACGAATAGAATATCACAAAAATCAACAACTCCAACACCTACAGCTTCATCCAAATGAAGTTGTGGATCCTTATAATGGTAATAAGGGTTCAACAAATATGCCATCAAATGAAGAGGAGAGTCAAGCCTATCTTTCATTTTTTCTTCAATAATGTCAATAATCGATTTATAGTTCCTTGGGACATCGGACAAAGCATGTTTGATTTCCTCTTTAGCTCTCATAAGCTCACCATATACAAACCCCATTGATGGCTTGCTATCACAATCAACAAGTCGAAGTACTCTCACCAATGGTGCAAAAACCTTCAAACATGCCGTTACACCTTGCCAAAATCCCAAACTTGTTACGGTTGTGTGTGCTACCTTCCCTTTAGCTATCTTGGAAAATTTACATGCCTCACATTCATTGCTAGAAAACATTGCCCTTAATTCAATCTTCTTCTCGGCTAAACTTTGCAAAGTAATGAATGAAGATGCAAATCTAGTCACACCGGGCCTCACTATATCTCTCTTCTTTGTGAAATTTCTCATCATTGCCAAAGTCGTGTGATGAGCATAAATAAATATCGTTAATGCCTTTGCTTGATCAAGGACTTTCTTGTACCTCGGGAGATTTCCAATGCTTTGAAGCATTAGATTTATCGTGTGAGTGGCACAAGAAGTCCAAAAGATGGTTGGCCTCTTCTCTTTCAACAACTTTGAAGCTCCCATGTTGTTTGAGGCGTTATCCGTGACAACTTGAACAACATTTTCAACTCCAACTTGTTCAATGCCATGCTCAACAAACTCATAAATATATTGACTTGTGTGTGAATCAAGTGAACATTCTTTAGAAGAAAGGAAAACGGTGCCCAAATTTGAATTCACACACAAATTCATTACACTTCTTATCTTTCTATCGGTCCAAGCATCCGTCATGATTGAGCACCCATTTAGCTTCCACTCCTCTTCATGTATCTTCAAAGACTCACGAACTTTATCAACTTCTTTTTTCAAGAATATTTCACTCATCACATATCTACTTGGTGATTCAACTCCGGGACTGAATTGTCCAACTACTTCTAACATCATCTTAAAGCTATCTTTTTCAAATGCATGAAAAGGAATAGCGGCCTCATATGCCCATCTACATATATATTCTTTCACTTTATTTGTCCTTTCCTTCCATATTGCACCATCAATACGTTGTTGTTGCAATGTCTTTCCTAAATTCATGAAAGGTTCGGGATTTATGCCACTTGCAAACTTATCCATTGGGCCAAGTGAACGTGGTGGCTTCATAGATCCAAGAGACCCTTGCAAGTCCTCAACATTAATTGACTCACTTCTACTATCAATATTCACCTCGGCTCTTAAATTATCTTCATTAAATTTTTTATTTTTCCTTCTCATCTTGACTTCATTGATTGCATTTCTACACTTAAGTTGATCATCTTTAGTAGCTTTAGAACACGGAGTAACGTTTCCTTGTATATGACCAATATGCTCTTTTATTCGATGCACTCCACCGGATAAAACTTTCCCGCACAACAAGCATTTTACTTTATCCAAATATTTCCCATCAACTAAAATACCATATTCCCACCCTACATCATTTGATCTCCTTTTAAGTATAGATGCGTCAGAAGATCCAACACTTTGAGTAGCCGAAGCACTTGATGAAGTCATTATAACTAAAAATCATACACAATAAATGTATAATTCAATTCACAATTTCACATAGTGCATATGAAAATGTAAGCATAGTGCATAATTCAATTCACAATTTCACAATTTCACAATTCAATAAATGTAAAATACACCATTTTCCAACACTGCCTAGTGCATATTTCCAAGTTCTAACACTGCCTAGTGCAAAAAAAAAAAAATTGCATATTTGCATATTTGCCTACTGCCTATACCAACACTGACTAGTGCAAAAAAAAAAAAATTACATATTTGGCTATTTGCGTACTGCTTAAAAAAAATTGCATATTTCCAAGTTCCAACACTGCTTAGAAATTAGAACAATTGAAAAGTGAAAACATAAAAAATTAAAAATTGAATTTTGTTGTGAGAAGTGAGAACTTACAGTTACAGAGTATAGACCTTCGGGTTTCGACGGTGACGGAGCTGGAGTGCTGGACGCCTGGACCTTCGACGGCGATGGAGCTGGAGTGCTGGACGCCTGGACCTTCGACGGCGACGGACGGCTGGACCTTCGACGGCGACGGACGACTGGAGCTCGACGGCGACGAACGGCTGGAGTCTACGGCGACGGCGCTTCGACGGAGTTCTTGGCTTCTCGCTGTAGTGTGTAGTGTCTCCCTTGAGTGTAGAAGTTAGGGTTAGAAATCACGACTTAGGAGTTAGGAGTTTAGAAATCAGAATTACAATTTTTTTTTAATTTGGGTTTTTCGCTCAAAATGATGTCGTTTGAGCGAAAAACCCAATAAAAAAAATTGAATTAACTCGGCCGACTCGGCCAAACTCGGCCGAGTTGACCGCCCAGGTCGCCCAGGCAGCCGCCTAGGTGGCCGGGCGCATTTTGGCCGCCTATAGGCCAAAACGGCAAGGCAAGTGGCCGCCTAGCGCCTAGGCGACTAGGCGACCGAGTTTTACATCACTGCTTCTGGTTTGTGTTTGAGTCAGACAAGGTTGTTTTGTCGAAATCAGGAATGTATGTAGGCATGGGTTATATACTAGATGGGTATTTTATATTTTAAGCTCGATATAAAATCGTGATTAATAAAAGTGTTATAAATTTAACCTACTTGCTTGAGTCTTCGCGTTTGTGCCATGGTAGAGTGCATCATGTCAATTTTAATTCTATACATAGGTTAATTAACTTCGACCATATTCCTATATTTCAAATTAATGATAAGCACAGTACAACATATCATTAGCAAATTGATGGTCAAGCATTGTATAACAGTAGACTCCTTGTGTATCTTCTTCTTCTTCTTCTTCTTCATCGTCTTCTTCTTCTTCCTCTTCTTCTGCTTCTTCTTCTTCTTCTTCTTCTTCTTCTTCTTCTTCTTCTTCTTCTTCTTCTTCTTCTTCTTCTTCTTCCTCCTCTTCCTCTTCTTCCCCTTCTACTTCCTCTTCCCCTTCTTCCACTTCTTTTTCTTCTTCTTCTTCTTCTTCTTCTTCTTCTTCTTCTTCTTCTTCTTCTTCTTCTTCTTCTTCTTCCTCTTCTTCCTCTTCCCCTTCATCGTCTTCATCGTCTTCTTCGTCCTCTTCCTCTTCTTCCGCTTCTTCTTCCTCGTCTTCTTCTTCATCTTCCTCTTCCTCTTCTTCCTCCTCCTCCTCCTCATCCTCTTCTTCCTCATTCTCCTCTTCCTCTTCCTCTTCTTCTTCTTCTTCATCTTCCTCTTCCTCTTCCTCTTTTTCTTCTTCCTCTTCCTCTTCCCCTTCATTTTCTTCTTCTTCTTCTTCTTCTTCTTCTTCTTCTTCTTCCTCTTTCTCTTCCTCTTCCTCTTCCTCTTCTTCTTCTTTCTCTTCCTCTTCCTCTTCCTCTTCTTCTTCTTCTTCCTCTTTCTCTTCTTCTTCTTCTTCTTCTTCTTCTTCTTCTTCTTCTTCTTCTTCCTCTTCCTCTTCTTCTTCTTCTTCTTCCTCTTTCTCTTTCTCTTCTTCTTCCTCTTCTTCATCTTCCTCTTCCTCTTCCTCTTCTTCTTCTTCCTCTTCCTCTTCATCTTAATTATATAATATTTTTAATATTAATCTATTATTAAATTTTCTAAATTCATTAATGTAATTTTATTTTTTAAATAAAAAAATTAGAAGTAAGGTAATTTAATTTGGGCTGTAGCGAATTTGTGCTGCAGTATTTTTTTTTTATATATAAAATAAAATTAGTATTACATACTAATTTATTGAGGGTATGTTATATTGATCAGAATTTTACACTTCTCCAAACCATTCTAACATGCAGCTGCTATTTGAAACTTTTTTTTTAGTGCTTTTGGTTCAAAACACAAATTGAATTTGTTGTTTGTCAAACAATTATTGTAGAATTTTGACTCAGTCAAAACTCCAAAGATAGTCAAATCGTCAGATTTTAACAAAGCTGTTAATAACTAAACAAGGACATGGTTCCTTAAAAAAAAAAACAAAAACAAAAACAAAACAAAATAAACAAAAAAAAAAAAAAAAAAAAAAAAAAAAAAACAAGGACATGGTATTATTTTATATTGTACAGTGAAATGAACCAACGAAGAATAAATAAAGTTTGTATCATATATATATATATATATATATATATATATATATATATATATATATATATATATATATATATATATATTTATTTATATAATTGGTCATCATTTTATTAATTTGTTATATACTGTAATTGATTAATTAACAAATAATTGAAAATTATAGACGATAGATAATGACATTTGCAACCATTCACAACATATGATACAATATTCCAATTAAAAATTAATTTATTTTATTTGGATATACTTCATTTTATTTTCGAAAAATTAAATTTGTTTAGACACCATATTTTAATATGCTTATAATTTTATGAACATCTATTTGCTTTCAGGTGCGAATGGCGCGCCCAGGAGCGAAATGCGAATAATTTTGCGCGCGCCATGTGTCCAGATCTAGGTGCACCTATGTGAAAGTAGGTGCACCCGATCAATGAATGTTAACAAGGCAAAATTACATGCACTTATAGATAAAGTAAGTGCACCCGATCAATGAATGTTAACAAGACAAAATTATATGCAAGTAAAATGTATTACAAGTGCATGTAAAATGTATTATAGGTGCAAGTAAAATTTGAACTGAGCATCAATACTAAGTGCACCTGATGTTATACCTAGGTGCACAAATGTTAATAAGGTAAAACTACTTGCACTTGTAAGTGAAAATATGTGCACTTGTAAGTGATATTACTTGCACTTTTTATTTGCAAAGATACACCAGCTACTTGCACTTATAACACATTTATTTGCATCAAAGTTCAAGTTATTTACAAAAAAATTGCCACCTATTTTTATTTTTTAAATTACATCTGATTCGTTGATCTGGACACATGGATGGATGGCTGGCATATATATATATATATATATATATATATATATATATATATATATATATATATATATATATATAGTATTAATTATTTAATTGACTTTTAGAAAATTTTTAATTAAAATATAATTACTGATTGAAATTTACAGTACAACACAAGTTATTAAATTATTTATCAAGGCATATTAAAATTTACTTGCTAATTCACATATTGGTTCAACAAATGCATGCATGTGCAAGTGCATACATAAAAAAAAAAAAAAAAAAAAAAAAAAAAAAAAAAAAAAAAAAAAAAGAGAGATTATATTGTAAAACTTAATTACCAAAAGTGGCGGAACGAAAAGTGATGGAGCCATCTTGGACGTTTTTGCTACCAGTAATAATGGTAGCATCAATCCCATCTCTAATGAACATGATGTTCTTCATAGATTTCTTGATCTCCACATTTTCCTTATAAACACCCCTTTTCACGTATATCACAAATCTCTTGACGCCTCTACTTAGCTTCACCGCCGCAGACACAGCTTGATGAATGGTCTTAATTATATTGGCCCGACCCATCTTTAGCCACCTTGGATTCAAGGAGCTTCCTGTCGGACGCCGGAACCCACGCCGGAAATACCCCATCGCCGGCCTCCCCACTGCTCAGAATTAGCTGCCTTGTTTATGGCAAGCGAGTTGTTGAGGTGCTTGGAGAAGTGACTTAGAGTGTAATTAGGAAATAATATAATGCGTGCGAGTATTGTGATAACTGGAAATCATATCGGTGAACCTATTTTGGCAGGACTCATGGTTAGCAATGGCAGCGCTCAGCCGTGATTGAACGTCGTTTGTGTGGGTGTCGGTCAATAACACGGCGTGGGCATTTCGAGCTTGAGCTAAAGTTGCTCTAAGGGTCGGGCTTTTTTGCGAAAAATGATGAAATTAAATATCCAAAAAATAGGAATTTTTTCCATGAGAGTTTGTGTATGTATACTTACTAGGTTGCTGGGATGGATTGAATGGTGAATTGGAAGAGTCGGGCATAGGGGAAGGGATCGGATTCCATAGGGAGGGGGTTTACGATTAATAAATTGGTTTGGCTTTTAGTCTAGGCACAGAATTTTTTGTCTATAGTGGATTTTATGAGACTATGTCGTGTGGCAAATTATTATGTGGACTCGGGTCGTCCATCTTGTAAGGTAGATTCAAGTTACAAAGTACATAATTTAGTTATTTAGGTATTGAATATTAACAATTTACATACTGAATGTTTAGAATTTACATACTAAATATTCATAATTGAGTAAATAAATAAATTAAATAAATTATGTATTTTTAGATCCGAGTCCATGATATAACTGCTATAAATTGAAATGCCACAGGCCATCCAGCCGCGTCATGAAAAAGGAATCTTCTAGTTGTTTTATTCTAAAATGTCTATTATTGTTATCAACCTTATAATCATGTGTTATGTGAGGTAGTGGCGGAGCTTAAGGGGGGCAGCGGGCCCCCTCCCACTACCCCCATATATTACCCTTGTCTGTGTCTATATATATATATATATATATATATATATATATATATATATATATATATATATATATATATATATATATATAAGAGCGCTCATATGCGGCGGGGTCTTACGGTGCGGCGGTGTGGTCAAATTCCAGAATACATCAACAGTGTTAACAATATGCACCAACAGTGTAATAAAAACACACCCCAATGAAATGTAATAAAACATCACAAAATACACCACAGACTCAAAAAAATACACCATATAACTCACCATCCCCAATGGTGTATTTTTGAACAGTGTATGCTGTTTTTACTCACACCTAATGGTGTGTGTTTGGTGATGCAGGGCTCTGTTTACTCTGTTTTGTGTGGTGTATTTCCTAACGTTGATGGTGCATATTTGGTGAACTATTGGTGTTGTCGCACCGTAAGAAATAACCGCACCGTAAGACACTGCCGCACCTGAACCCGCCTATATATATATATATATATATATATATATATATATATATATATATATATATATATATATATATATATATATATAAGTAATTAAAGGTTGAATTAGGTGGGATAGTAAGTTATAGCTTTACTTTCGTTCAAGGTTTGATTCTCATTAGTTGAGTTAGCCTTTTTAGAATTATTATTAGTGATAATTTTATTTTTATTCTTTAAAATATAATGTGCAACCATTATTTTGTATTAATAGTGAGATGTATAGTTTATAATGTGTTTTCTATTTGAATCATTTTATCAAACTAATTTTGTTTCATATTTTGGTATAAATAATTTCTTTTATAAAGTTTTGATGTGTTTTGATATTTCGTCTATATCCAACAATATTTATGACTTTTTAGAAATATATTAATACTGATATTTTATTTTTATTCTTTAAAATATAATATGTGCAATCATTCTTTTATATTGATAGTGAGATGTATAATTTATAATGTGTTTTCTATTTGAATCATTTTATCAAACTAATTATATTTCATGTTTTGGTGGGAAAATTGAACTTCTTGTCCATAAGTTATATGGTAATTGTAGAATTCGTGTTTGAGTGTTGGTCATGCTAACTTTTCGACCCTAAGTTATCATTGACGTTGCACTTTTCGTCCTTTCGTTCTTACTTTTCGTCCCTGAGTTATACTAAAATTGCAAATTCCGTCCCTAATATTTTATTAGTAAAGGGACGAAAAGTGCAACGTCAATGATAACATAGGGATGAAAAGTGAGTATGACCAATACTTATGGACGAATTCTACAATTACCTTATAACTTAGGGACGAAAAGTGCAATTTTCCCTATTTTGGTCTAAATATTTTTTTATAATGTTTTGATGTGTTTTGATTTTTCGCTCATATCCAACAATATTTATGGCTATGCTTTTAAGTGTGATACCGTAAATACTCCCGCGGGGACTATGTGTATAACAGTATATGTAAAGCAAGAATAAGATGGGAGAGTATTAGCTTGAAGAAGTCTTTTATTCATTGTAGTTCTAACATTTTTTAAAGCGAGTTGAGTGAGGATCTAAACCTAGAGAGAGTGTGTAGGAGAGGTGGGGAAGGAACCCCTACAATGAAGGGTTAACACCCTTTATATAGGCACTTGATGGGCTTGACCTTGACCCGTTGACCCTGACCATGACCCTAACCGTTTGACCCCGACCCGACTACAAAACGAGAGCATGGACGTAAAGGAGGTCCAAACCGGGGTATATTCCCTATCAAATAGCCCCACTAGTCTGTGCCCTAACGGTCGAACTAATGAGGAAGGGTTCAAGCTGGAAAAATTGACTATACATTCCGTGACTTACGTCGGTTGCCTCGTTAAAAACTTTAGACTAAGAAAAACCGAGTGGGAAAAATTTTTAGCCAAGGAAAAGAGAGCACAACCATGAGCATAGTCTTTTGGTCTATAAGGGATTGTCTGGATTCTACCGATCTATGGATCGGATCTACAACATGGTTTGGGGAGATCAGTATTTACCGACCTAACGACCAAATTATCAGCGATGGTCGAGAGGTCATATTAACTGCGATCGGGAGGTTGCATCAACTGTGATCTAGAGATCCCCATTTTAGCAATCAAGGGATTGGATTTGCTCATGATCTAACGATCCAAACTGACTAATCAAGAGATTAGGTTTGTAGGGAGAGCTAATGATAAAGTCTTATCAATCAAGAGATTGGATTTTACTCACGGTCCAAGGACCTCTACTTATCTTATCGATCGCAAGCAGAACGCCTTTCCCAATGCCCTTCACTCGGGCTAACTGGTCGTAGGTGGTTTGAGCTCGGTCAAACCCTTACCTAAATTTACTTGACTATAAGGTCGTTCTTAGCTGATCGCGTTTGGTTGGTTTTGATTACCGCATTAATCACTATGATGGGTTTCAAAAACCAAAATCAATTGAATGAGGAGTTTCTTCCTTTTTATGCTCAGTTTATGAACCAGGAGTCCCGAGCGGAAGGACACTAGGAGATCCAGAGGCCAAACGATAACGGGATGCGTTTTGGTAAACAAAAATCAACTAAATGGGGAGTTTTCACTTTTATGCTCGGTTTACAAGAGCGGGGGGACGCTAGGAGACCTAGAGGCCTAACGATAATAGGACCGGGAAGGTCACTTTGCTCGAAAGGCGCTTTAGTGAGCTCCGTAGCTGAGGGAGTTGCCCTACAAATCCTGCAATGGGCAGTTTTCACTTTTATGCTTGGTTTACAAACCGAGAGTCTCAAGCAAAGGGACGCTCGGTGACCTAGAGGTCTAACGATAACGGCACCGGGAAGGTCACTTTGCTCAGGAAGCGCTTTAGTAGCTCCGTAGGCCGATGGAATTGCCCTACAAATCCTATCAGTGTAACCTCCCCCCCCCCCCCCCACCCCCCGCACTCACTGTGTTTTGAGAATCGTTAACACAAGGGAGTAGATGTGGTGGCTTCCCGACCTCATTTTAAACTTCGACTGCGATCGGGAACTGACCTGATCGCTTTCGTGGTGCGGAAGTAGCAATGGTCATTTTGCCGACTTTGTAGGGCTTTTGGGGATTACAAAGTCTAAACTTACCGATCAAGATATCGGATCTCTAACGTAATAGAGGATTTGAGTGCTACCGATCAAGCGATCAGGTCTTTAGCGTGATAATGTGATTAAACTACCAATCAAAAGATTGGATTTGCCCGGGGTGGGAAGTCCGACTTCGCATGTTCAATTGCCTACTTCGTAGGGCTTAAAGCCAAGATATGGTCCCGGGCTTATCGTGCCAATGGTGGCAATACTGACCTAATAAGGCTTATAGCACTAGTGGTGGCAATGCTGACCTAATCAGGCTTATAGTGTAGGTGGTGGCAATGCTGACCTAATCGAGCTTGTAGCGCCGATGGTGGTAATGTTAACCTAAACGGGCTTATAGCACCGGTGGTGGCAATGCTGACCTAATTGGGCTTATAGCGCCTACTACGTAAGTCTTATGCCGAGATGCAGTCTATGGCTAACCAAGCCGGTGGTGAACACTGACCTAATCGGACTTATAGCGCCCAGTGGTGGCAATTAGGGATGTCAATCGGGCCAGCCCACTCGGTTTCGGGCTAGCCCTGTCGGGTTGTCGGGCTAATCGGTTTATTAATATTTTATTCTCGGGTTCGGTTTGGCCCTAACTCTAAACTTCGGGTTGTCGGGCTAATCGGGCGGATTGAACCATCTGAACTAAAATTAAAAACTGAAAGTGAGTACCCATATTTAGAGTAGGGATGACAACGGGGCGGGGCGGGACGGAATAGGGCGGGACGGAATGGGGCGGGGCGGGAAGTATACTCCCCATCTCCGTCCTCAACGAAAAATTAAAAATAGTCCCTATCTACGTTCCCGCGGAGAATTTAGCGGGGACGAAAAATTCCTTCCTCATCAATTTTTAGTCAAAATATTAGATTAAAGTTGATTTAAATTTTATAAAACTAAAAATTTAAGTTTTAATTTAAATTATATATATATATATATATATATACACGCTACTGTATTGTAGCAATATATATATATATATATATATATATATATATA